ATAAGCTCAAATAAACTCTTTCTTTTATAAGTTGTTTTGGTCAGTGTTCCTATCACAGCAACAGAAAAGTGACTAATACAGGTCTTTTAATAAATTTCTTTCTTAATAGTAATAACCTTTAAATAAAATAAAGTCTCACATCACTGAACTTTCAAGCAGTGAATTGTATCACTACAGTCCATTCACAGACACTTCAAGTATAACTTTCAAGATTCTTTCCCATTCCAAAACTTTTTAAACACTGATAGTGTTTTATTTCTGAATGTGTGCTTACTGGATCTGCATATTTCCAATAATGTCCACATAAGATATCCCCTTCTTTTCTGCTTGTCTAAGCCGACAAGGAACTTCAAGATAACTTTCGCCATGGTCTTGGTCTCACGACCCATCAAATATTCAAAAACCACAATCACTGGCACTGGCTTCTTAGTTACACTACTTACCTCTGTCTTTATTGAGTAGACGGAAGCTTCCTATTAAGTGTTAAGTCCAGACTGTGGAATTTAGACACTCCACACTCTGGGACCTCCCCTTTAGGATTTTCATGTAATAGCAAAAAGTGATGCTCATTCGACCTGACCATGCAGGCCTTTGATCCCAGCTACAAGGAAGCTGAGGAAGGAAGATCAGAATGGAAAATCTGCCTGTAATACAGAGTGAGTTCTAGGTCATCCTGGGCACCATAACGAGACCCTTTCTAAAAAGAAAAGCAAAGGGTTAGAGCTGAGGATGTCACTCAGTGGCAGAGTACTTGCCTAACATATGCCAGTCAATCCCAAGTACCATGAAAAAGTGATAATAACCAATCAAACAAAAATGTTTCTTTTTAAAAAATATTTTCTTTATTATTTTTGTTTTATGTACATGAGTGTATTGCCTGCATGTCTGTAAGTGCACCCATATTGTGCAGTGTCCACAGAGGTGAGATGAGGGCACTGAATCTGCTGGAACTGGAGTTACGGACAGCTGTTACCTGCCATGTGGATACTGGGACTTGAACCTGGGTGCTCTGCAAAAGCAGTGCTCTTAACTGTTGAGCTGTCTCTGCAGTCCATAAAAATATTTCTTAGATTATTTATTTTCTTTTTAAAAGCTAATGTGGGGGTTGGAGAGATAGCTCAGCAGTTAAGAACACTGGTTGTTCTTGCAGAAGACCTGGGTTCGAATCTCAGCACCCACATGGCAGCTAACAACTGTCCATAACTCCAGTCCCAGGGGATCTGAAAGCCTCTTCTGACCTCTGTGGGCATTGCACAATGTGGGTTAACTTACCTATATGCAGGCAATACACACATACACATAAAAATAATAAATAAACTTTTTAAAAAAGTTAAAAGCTGCCAGGTGTGGTGGCCCACGCCTTTAATCCTAGCACTTGGGAGGCAGAGGCAGGCAGATCTTTGTGAGTTCGAGGCCAGCCTGGTCTACATAGTGATTTCCAGGACAGCTGGGGCTACAAGGAGACCCTGTCTCAAAAAGACAAAAAAAAAAATAAAAAGTTAAAAGCCAATATGTAAAACATATATACTGAAAGCTGTATTGGGCCTCTTGCAGCCTTCTGTGTATTTTTAACTTCATTTTAATAATAATCCTATTTAAATTTTGTCAACCAGTATTTAATCCAGCTAATAACTAAGCAAACAGCCATGGATGATCAACATAGAAAGCATTTGTACAGTGAAAGCATGAAAAGCAGGGTTTCTCTACTTTTAAACTTATCACCTAATCCCTTTCCTCTCTTACATTGTTATCGTTCCTCATAGAACTCATTCTGAAGCAGAAGGGAAGAAAAAAACGCTGTGGTGGTTTGAATGAGCATGTCCCCCCCATAGGCTCCAAGTATTTGGACATTTTATCCCCAGATGATGGCGCTGCTGTTTGGGGAGGTTTTAGAAGGCATGGCTGTCCTGGAGGAAGCACGTCACTGTGTGTGGGCTTAGAGAGTTCTTAAGCCTTGCCAGATCTCAGAGTCGCTCTGTGCCTGCATGATGATGTGAGAGCTTAGCTTTTGCTGCTCCTGTTCCAGCCACCGCCAGCCACCACGCCTCCCTGCCATGATGGACTGTAATTCCCCTGGGATCATAAACTCAAATAAACTCTTCCTTCTATAAATTGCTTGGATCAGTGTTTCTATCACAGCAACAGGAAAGTGACTAATAACAACCACACAGTGAATCTAGTTCTCCTCAAGCAGTAAGAGAAGGAAATCTGCAGAGGGGAAGAGATTTGGCAACAAAAGTGCTAACACATTAACATGCTGATAAGACTTGGTTTGTCACAGAGTCTAATTAAGTTGAATCAGCTTCTCTAAATTTCAGTTTTCTTGACAAACGGTCAGAGGAAAGAACTGTAACTGGTAAATGGTATCTGTCATTTTAAGTCCTGATTCTGAACAGAGCCCCAGATCTGCATTAAATTGAAGAAGAAATAGAAGGAAAAAAGAGGAAATATTCCTTAAGTGTGTCCCAGCCTGTGGAAGGGGAAGGGGGTGAAAATAATACAGGTACAAAGCAGAACTGGGAATGCATGGTTGACGATGTCCAGAAAACCCAGGAAAAGGAGCCAACCTGTCGGACCCTGGAGCAAAAGATAAAAAGCTGGAGTCAGTAAGAGAGACGGAAATGAATAGAACTGAAATGGAAGAAATATGAAAATTTGAAATATGAAAAATTACAGGCTCCACAAGAGATGGATGGGAAAAATAAACCCACAAATGTTTTAGAAGGCAGTCCTGAGGAAAAGTCCATTTCATAAGTGATCCAGCCTAAATTGCAGCATAACATGGAAGTGCAGCACAATGACCTGGGGTTTAATTTAGAAGGGACAGAGCAGGAAAAGCAAAAATTGAACTAGTAGATTGCTAGACTGCAGCAAGACCTTTGAATGCTGAAGAAGGAGCCTCAGCAAGAGCTGGACATACTGAAGAAAACATGAGCAAGAAATGGGGCGGGGGGAATCAAACAGAAGCAAGAAGATCTTGAATTGAAGCACAATTTCACAGTAATACAGGTGATGAGGGATTTTAACATCCAGCTGGCACAAAAGGAACAGTAACCGGAAAGAACCCTAGAAGAAACTATCCAGAAGGTCCAGGAGGAGGAAGCTAAACTTTTAGAAAGCCATCAAGAAGAGAGAAATCAAATGCATAAAAAATGCTGCAGATGAGAATGATCTAAAAAGAACAGCCAAATGATATGAGGAAATCCTTGACTCCAGTGAAGAAGAAATGACTGCACCGCAAATAACCTGCAGGCTCAACTTGCAGAGCTTCAGAAGGAATCAGATCGCAAACCGGCACAGGAGGACAGCACGGGCGGCAATGTCACGATTATGGAGTTCCAGACCCGCTAGCACCGAAGACTAATCAGTGAGTCAGAGTTGAAAGAACAAGAGCTCAGAGAACAGATTAACAATTTAGAAGACCATTTGAAAAAATATGAAAAGGATGTGTATTCTACAACTGTAGGGACACCTTGCAGAGGTGTCAATTTCTACCACACTGATGTCTTCCTCTTGGGAGAACCTACAGCGTTTGGGTATTTGGGAAAACTGCTTTTTGAATATATGATGGGTCATGAGACCAAGACCATGGTGAAAGTTATAACCACTGTCCTGAAGTTCCCTGATGACCAGACTCAGAAGATTTTGGAAAGAGAAGATGCTTGACTAATGTCCATGTCACCTCAGTCTGTGCTTAGTTAGCATGTGTCATGGCTCCAAACTCCATCTTGAATAAATGAGGAGAGAGGGGCTGGGAAGCTGCTGCTTAGAAAGAACCGCCCACATTTGCTCATCTCTGAGAACAAAGTTCTCATGGGGGCCGTGTGCAGTATGAAGATGAAGAGTCTTACATCAGCCCACAGACACATTGCACACTGCTTTTGAAATAGATTTTATTGGTAGAGAAATAGTGATAGGTTTTTCATTTTTCTTTCTTTTTTTTTTCTTTTTTCAGTTTTCTCTGGGAAATCTTATGTTGTTTAAAAGACACCTTGGATAAACTGGCCTGATTTGTGAGCTCATTGGTCCCTTTCCCTATTCTTTCAGTCCCTCTTTTTAAAGAACTGCTTGTCTTATTTATTTTTAGGGTGATTTATTTTTTTCCTTTTTTTAAAGATTTGTGCAATACATTTTGAGGTGAAGCTTAGTGGATTTTTTTTTCTGATAAATTAGAGAATTTAAATGACTCTTACAGATTGATTTTTTGAGTATTTGCTAAAACCTAATTCTTTAAACTATGATAAGTCCCAAATGACAGCACCTTGTTACTCACTTAGTGTTTATACTTGTATTTTTTAGAGGAAATAATACTACTGTAATTGTAAATAGTCAATACAGATCTGTGACTGTTGGCCATGTCATCTCAGAGGATCAGATAAATAAAGTTTATTTCCTATTAAAAAAAAAGAAAAAACAATGATTGGTAGCTTGACCATTACTTTAAAATATTCTCGTGGGCTGGAGAGATGGCTCAGTGGTTAAGAACATTGGCTGTTCTTGCAAAAGACACGGGTTCAAATCCCAGCACCCACATGGCAGCTAACAACTGTCTATAACTCCAGTTCCAGGGGATCTGACAGCCTCTTCTGTCCTCCACTGGCACTGCATGTCACGGGTACACTTACCTACATTCAGGCAATGCACGCATACACATAAAATAAAAAATAATAAATAAAATATTTAAAACATTCTCCTTCGTTTGTTTCAGGAAAGTAATAGATCATCCAAAAAAGAGGTTTGGTATTCCCATGGATCGGATTGGTAGAAACCGGCTTTCAAATTCCAGAGGCTAATGGATTCCAATTGTAAGTACAGTTTGAAGAAGTAGCAATATGGGCAGGTGCTTAGAAATATTTCACAGTAGACTAATGGACCCATTCTTATTTATAAATACACCATTTAGTTTCTTTCTTAGATACCTACTTTAAAAAACATTTCTTTAGTCAATTAACATATTGACGTTAAATAAAAGAGTTTTATAAAGGAAATGAATATCCTACCAGAATGTCCAAAATTTTAACATTACAACACAACACTGTTAACAATCTACAAAGTTCCAACCTGAGAAACATGGGGTCAAGTGAAAAGAAATCTCTCTCCTCTCTCTCTCTCTCTCTCTCTCTCTCTCTCTCTCTCTCCTCCCATTCCCCTTCTTTCTTATTGTCCATGTCTCTCTTCCCATCCCCTTTCTTGTCACACACTCCTGATAAGGGGTTAAGGAAGTGTGATTGGGCTGCATTTGTGGGCACTCTGGGGCACATGCAGCTCACAGGCAGCAGACTGGACACACCTGAGGGAGACTTAGATTTTATCCTTCAGATGGGAAAGTAATAACCTAATGCTTCACATAAAACAGATTTAGCTATTTTCACAAACTCCTGTGCAATTATTGAATCTTAATATACAAATATACAAAAAGGGCTAAGATTATAATTACCTTATGTCCTAGTTAACTTTAATTATCAGCATGACCCAGTCTAGAGTTATACAAGTAGAATGCCTCAATTGAGGAATTGCCTAGATCAGATTGGCTTGTGAGCCGTCTGGGGTGGTAGGGGGTGGTCTCTGGATTATTAATGGATTCAAGAGGGCCCAGGCAACTGTGAGCAGTACTTATCCCTAAGTAAGTGGTGCTGTGCTGCTAAGCATGAACCTTGGAGCTAGTCAGAGAGAGAGAGAGAGAGACAGAGAGACAGAGAGAGAGAGAGAGAGAGAGAGAGAGAGAGAGAGAGAGAGAGAGAGAGAGAGAGAGAGAGAGAGAGAGAGAGAGAGAGAGAGAGACAGAGAGACAGAGAGAGAGACAGAGACAGAGACAGAGAGACAGAGAGAGACAGAGAGAGACAGAGAGAGCCAGAGCCAGAGCCAGAGCCAGAGCCAGAGCCAGAGCCAGAGCCAGCAAGCATCATTCCTTTAAGGCTCCTGCCTCCTCCAGGTTCCTTCTCTGACTTTCCTTAGTGATGGATTATGACCTGGAAGTGTAAGCCAAATAAACCCTTTCCTTCCAAGTTGCTTTTTGACAGAGTGTTTTATCACAACAAAGCAAAATAGAACAACACAATGTATCACTTTATAATTATGAATAAATGTGTAGCAATCCCTTTATTAGAAAGAAGAAACATTCTAGTGATACAGGCCATTTTGTTGTGAATGGATATGTTACTGAGTAACAATAACATAGAACAAACGGAGGAGAATGGTTTAGCACAAAGATTGTCTACCAGGAAATCAGCATATTTGTAATGTCTTGGTTCTCTGACTCTCATCTTGTTCCTGAAAAGATACCATAACTGTCTTTCTTTCTTTTTATGGTAAATATAGATTTATTAAGGAAAAGTGAAAAAAAAATCCCTAAGAGTAGGAGTGGACAGAAAGATGGATACCCAAAGATACCTTAGTTATAAACATCTTTTGCTCTTTAAGTAGTAGCTTAGTGTAATTGTGACAATTGCATTAGATGCTTGTAGTGTCCCTGGAATCTCTTGACACATATAAGTGCTAGTGATAGGAATCTATACTCCAGCTCTGCTGGACAATGTACGTGGTGGTTCACGTGTCTTCATGCAACTGCCCCTTCCACAAAGCAGTACAACTATTATCTCCAATACCCTGAGGAGCATTATGCTCCTCATGCAGGGTAAAGGTGGCAACAAGAAAAATCACGCTTCACAAATTCAAATCCCAGGTTCAAATCTCATCTACTTGTAAGCTATGGCATCTTAATTTTTGAACTCTTCCCCCATAAAGCAAAGATAATGATAATTTATATCTTATAGTATTTTCCTGAGTATTAAATGAATTGATGCATATTAAGTACCTAAGATTATACCTGATATCCAAATACTTTATAATGGTTAATAATAATTATACAAATAAGTAAAAGAGATTAGTTCACAGTATCTCAGGGATAGTAAGTTATACATGGAAAATTTAAATCTAGAAAGTTTAAATCCTGAGATTATGTGTCAAATAAGTTCTTTAATCACACATATTATATTACAAACAGCAAATGTTTGTTGTCCATGATGTTTTCACCAAGTAGAGCTCACAGAAGGCACGTCCTTCCTCCCAAGCAATTAAGACAGCCTGCAATACTTTCACAGTCTTGGACTAAAGAAGAGGTCATTCTGTTTTGGCTTCTCTATCCTGACTCCCACACCAATGATGCAGATTCCCCAAAAGTGTCATATTAGTTTGATCTACTCATAGTTTATATTACACTAGTTTTTCTTTCTCTTCAAATGCTTTAAAGCCCTACAGAGAGAGGGACAGTATTTTTATGACAATGACTTCATTAACAGAAATTTTGACTTCCAAGGATTTGTTGATTATTGATGCTCTATAGTCACTGGATGATCACAAAAGTGGGAGGATGTGCTGAGCATTACAAAGAACACAGATTTTTGAACAGCAGCACCTCCCAAACTCACACTGAGCTGTTTTTATTTTTTTCTTTTTCATATCTAGAAATAGACCTAAAGCTGGTCACTCTTCAGGGTTATTAAGAACTGTTACATTTATATTTGAAGAGGAATTAGATAACAGCTATAAAAGTCAAGTATTTCATGGAATCAAGGTTACATCTTCCAGTTTTCTGATGCATCAACATGGCCCTGATATTGAAATAATTAACTCATTGATTTCTATGTATACTTTTGCCACTCTTGATTATCACACGCATTAGTATCTCTGAATTCATCAAAGTTCATGTGATAACCAGTATAGGAAACTCATTTTCTTTTGAACATTGACAGGACAGGAACCTGGGCAGAAAGAAGAGGGCTCAGTTGCCATACTGTTTGTGGGAGTGACTTTTATTAATGGCTATATTCTGGACTAATGACTTTTAATTAACCCCAAAAAAATCATATACTCGAGTCTGATAACCTGGAGTCTCCTTGGCAACCTTAGTTTGTCCACCCCAAAAGATAACGAATGAATGTGGGTATGCTTGAGAATTAACACATCAAAGTGCTGCTGCAGTGCACTCAGGCACTGGACACAGTGGAGACTGCAGAGGATGGGTGCCCTTGGATTAATGTGAATTAGGGATGAAAAGACCAGATGGTCTCTGAGGATTAAGGGTGGAGCTGAAATTGAATTTTATACTTCCCAATGAGGCTGGAGAGATCATTTTGAATAAATTACGGATGTGGCCTGATGGGGTACACAGTGGGAAAAACGGGGCTACACAGACAGTTTCATTGGCACGGTGAGGAAACCAACAGCTCATCTACACAGGTTGAAGGGACAAGAGCTCCATCCATGGAGTTCTGAGAGACAGGTGGCGCTAATATAGATAGCAAGGGGAACTAGTGTCTTTGGGCCCACTCTTAAAAACTTAATTTAAGAGTTAGTCTATTTGTTCAGATGACTATGATGTTGATATAATAACGAGAGCAGCCCCTGCCCAGAACAGTGATGGGGAAATCCAAGTTGGTGCACTGTGTTCACTTAACAGACTACTGACCATCTTCACAATCACCGACTTTGTTATTAAAATATGAAGATAATAATATCACAAGAGAGTAACCTTAGAAGAGAATTTAGTGCCCTGTATTTGCTTTCTCTTTTGTCACTGGGGGCTCACCTGCTCAGTCATTGTTTCTGTTAGTTATTTCCCATCATTGTCAACAAAATTTCTCAGATACTTACTTCCTCTTCTGAAGGTTTGCCCTTTATGCGGAAGGCAAAACCCATAAAATCATGTATTTATCATTTTCATTCAATTTCAGATTTTAATACATTCTTCCTACTGGCAGAGTATTCCTTTGAATTAAATAGTATTTGTACAGCATAGCAGTTGCCAGGTAACAACTTAAGAGCTAGTAAATCTTGTTCATATAGCCACATAGATAGATACAGATTCAAGAACCTATGGGTCTTATTTAACCAATCCCAGCTTTTTAAAACACCTCAGGGAGCTGGAGCCATTGGAGGAGAATGATGTACCCCAACTTTGACAGATCTCTGGCAAAGCAAGACCGAGGAACCAGGTGGTTGGTCCTCCTTATGAATTGCCAGTTCCTCTTCGTGCCAAGTTGTTATTGTTCGATGCTAGCATCACTGATCATACCTTTGTTTGTTGGTTTGTTGATGCTGGGAACTGAACCTAGAGCATTTCAAATGCTAGGCAAATGTTCCACCCGTAAGCAAGCCCTCACCTTTAAAATAGTTCTAAGCCAAAGATAAATGCTATTCTGACCATTTTTTCTCTCTCTTTCACTTCTGTTGGGGTTGAAGCACTCTCTCTTGCAGGAGGCTTAGTTTGGGGTTTTTACCTGCTGGGTTTCACTTTGACTTTTCACACTAAGAGTGAAACAGGTACCTGAGAAGGAAATTTTGCTTGGTTTAAGGTCAAGTCTGTATACAGCTGCTGGGAGCTAACAACTTCTTAAAGGAAATACCAGTTCACGCTCTGTTACATTTTAGAAAGCAATATAATGTTATTTGCACAATGTTTTATTCAAATCATTACTATGTCATATCAAAGTTTTGAGTTTGTAAGCACTTCATGCTTATCTAAGATTTCATAGCTTTCCCAGATGGAATTAAAAACTAGTATTGAAATCACCATTGCCTGCTTAAGGAGATTAGAAATCTAACCATTGGTGGGGCTGCTACTTGCTACTGCCTGCAGTAAGACTTTTCCTTTGATAATGAGGCACATGTTGGTGCTTTATACTGACATTTTTCTCCAACCACAATGTTGAGACCATCACTTATACAAATTAACAGAACTCTGAACTGCAACAGTAATCACATATGTAAATAAATGGCAGTATAATGTTGAAACCCTGTAACACGAGCAAAATATACAATTATCAATATGTGATAACAAGTTAGTCAATTTTTCCTTCTGTTTCTCATGACAACATCCTCTGAACCAAGACTGAAGAGTCAAGAGAAATAGAATATAGTAGGACGTAGCTGAAGAAAGAACAGATATATTTTATAATTCTTATTAAAACTTAAGCTCAGGCTTAAGCTTATATCTTACAAATGCTCTTTAAGGACATTTTTATCTGTAATTATTTTACAATTATTGTTATAAAATATGTCATGTAATTAAAAGTTACCATGAACTACCATATAATTACAGATCTAGTTCTTCTCTGTTGAAGTTGTGGTTTTTCACCTGCTTTACAGAGTTCATAAATAAAATAACTTTATTTCACCTCTCATATTTGCAGATATGACTTCCTTGGGCAAAATGTCACAAAGATATGGAAGATGCTTCAGTGAAGCTCTTCAGTATTCCTTAATGGCTAAACTTTCAAGGAACTGACCTGAAAACCCTTCCCAAAGTTTGAACTTCATCTCAGCACATCATAGCAGTGTTATGGTATAAACTGAATCATCCAGATCATTTGAATGCATGTATATTTTGAAGATATTTTTAATGATGTGGAAATGGTTACCTACCCCTTAAACCCACTGTTTTAAATAATAGTCAAAGCCCACAACACATGAACTCTCTTCTCTATGTACTTCCCATTATTTGATTTTTTTATAATTAAAGAATAACGGAATAGATGTGCTTCTGTAGAATTAGATACAATTATTTTATTGTTAAGGAATAAGAAAAGACAAAGCTGTGTATTTTCTCTTGAATAGTTTTTTCTCATTTCTTTGTCTAGAAACATGTAGTGTAATAATTATAAAATGAGCTTTCTTTTATCAAATTTCAGTCAAGTTCAGCCATTTACTTAAAACACAGCCCCCTGTAAGCTATGAATCCCTTCTGAGCTTAGAATTAAAGAGTGTGGGATATCATACATTTGTCAAGTTTCAATATACCTTAGCCACTAAATTTTCTCTAAATTTTATGTGATAGTGAACAGTAATGGTTCATTGTGAAGGTAACAACATAGCAGATGAACACAGAGAGGATACTAAGAAATCACCAGGTAGTCACAACACCTGCAAGCAAAGCACATATCATTTCATTATGATTCGTTTTAGCATAAGACAACAAACTTTAAGTTTTAGAATTATCTAGAAAATGTTCATTCCAATTCATATACTCCACTCAATAAGGCATTGAACAGTATAGTATATCTGAGAATGACTAGACAAGATGAGCCAGATTATATTACTTAACATCTCAAAGCCTAAGGTTTGATATTTTACAAAGTTCAGTTCTCAGCAGTAGCTCTGATGTTAAGGCAAATGACACCATGTACATTCGATATTCTTCCAAGTCATAAAATAACTTATTCCATGAACCAGAAATTAAATATTAAGTTATTTGGCAAAAGTGTACACATAATCTAGAAAACACTTGGTTGGAACCTGGTAATCACTGTCAAACACACAAGATATGGACAGGAAAAAATTTTTGTCCAGCAGAGAAAATTTTTTAGCATAAGAAGAGTGCTTTACTCAAGAGTAGTAACTCAACTTCAACTGAAAATTAAGCAATGTACTTGAGCAGACCATCTTAAACAAAACTCTAAAGAAACAGTGTAGTAACAAGAGACTTGAACTAACTAACTGACCTTCATAAAAGAGTGGTTTTTCTTTCAGTTATCCTGCCTATCATGCAAGAAGTAAATTTTCTATCTGCAAGGTATGGGGACTCACGCCTTTTATCACAACACTTGGAGGTAGAGGCAGAAAGATCAGGAGTTGAAGACCACTCTCATGTGTATAGCAAGTTGGAGGCCACACTAGGCAACCTCAGACCTCTGTCGCAAAAGAGGAAAGAAAAAAAAATAAGAAAGACAGGAAAGAAAGGAAGGAAAGAAAGACAGATAGGAAAGAAATGTTACACTATCACAGCCAATTAAAATAAGAGGCCCCAACACGTTGATTTGTCTCATAATTCAAACTTTATTGAAGAAAAAGAGAAAATGTCTTTTCAACTTAACTTTTAATTCATATATTTTAGTTTTTACTACTACTTTGGAAAGAATAGAAAATAAGTCACAATATTGTCACTTAAATGGGAACTTCTAACATACTGCAAATTAAAACATTTCTGTTAATAATGTGATGTCTACTCTCAGTTATTTGTTCAATTCAATGTATAAATCCAGCTACACGTCACTGGAAAGCCACCAACCTGAAGGGACTTTTTGCTTTAAAATAATGTTAGCTTTTTCTTCCTTGTTCCTATGAACAGCTACATGGAGGAAGTGAATATATGGACACGAATTTCTGAGTTCTGGTGTTCGGTACAAAACCAAATTTCCATGTGATGATGTCATTGTGAGCAACATTTTCTCACAGTTTATACTATACAAAATTTATCAAAACGCATCTTTAATCTACATACCGACTTAGAGAATTCAATTTCTTCAATAATTGTTAGAAAACTGAATTAAATCTTCTGAAAGGAAGAAACATCAAAAGTTCTTTTTGATGGAAAATTATTCAAGTTACAAAGTTCATAAATGTGAGATGGAAAGCAGGTGTACATCTCTCTTTATGGCAGCCGTGTGCTTGGGCTCACATACCCTGTCGATGCACAGTAGCATCGCCAGTCATTCTTCTACAGCTGGTACTTATTCATGTACCTTTGAGCAGCTCCTAAAGAAGTGTACGTACAGTACTATAGGCACTGTGTTTAAGTTGGTCACTTTATTTTCTTTTGGCTTTCTTTTTATTAATTGAAAAATCTAGTTTAATCCAATCTATTATCTATAGTTTCAGAATTTAAATTTTAAGAAGACAGCAAGGTTTATAATTAACTCTTGCACATAAAGAAACATTGAAATTCTTTCTCTGGAAAGAAGCCAAGCTTGTTCTGGGCAGATGTGGTCTGTGTATGAGCCTTGTGGTCAGATGGGCATCATCTTGGTCTTTGGTGGCTGTGTGAAGAAAAGGAGAATCCTCTGCAGGCCTAGAGTGGGAGTCGTGGCATAAAGACTTGCGGCATGTCCAAAGAAGACCGTTTTATTTATAATAAAATCTTTGATCCTTGTCTTTGTCTATTGTGATTTAACCCATCTGGCAAATTCACTGCACTTTCCCAGGCCTTGCTCACTATGCGCAAGCATGCAGACTTTCTGTCCTTTTTTTTTTTTTTTTTTTTAAGATTTCCAGTTCTTCCTAGCTTGGCCTTTCCACATAGTAGTCTCCATTTTCTCCAGCATCTTGAGGACTTGCTCCTTTTCTTCAACTACTTTTCATGGCTGGACCCTTCCTAGCCTTGAGGCTCAGCTCAAATACCACCTATAGGTCCTTGCTTTGTGCTCAGCTGCCTGCCTTTATCCTAACCTGAATCATTGCAGTGTTACCCGGCTCCATTTTCTTCCTTCCTCTTGTCCCTGTCTAAAAAGCCCTCACTTAGGTTTCTGTTTATTGTTTGTGCACCCCAGTAGATTGTAAGCCCTGTTCATTGTTCCTGGATCCTCAGTCTTACCACAGGGCTTTGCTTCCCTTGGTTTAAGAATTATCAATCTGTTTTATGAAATATTTTTATCATTAGCAGCACAGTCTTAATAGTATGTAAATGAAAATATACTTCCCAGTATTATAAAGAAAGGGAATATGTATAGGCTCACATAATAGTGTAGTCATTAATATTCATTAATTTTAAAGTTACTTTGGTAATACCTCTGTACCAGAATGGATGTGAGACAGAATTAAGGTTGAACTTTGAGCCTTGAATGAATTAAATAAGCTTGTTCAGCTACAGAAAAGAATAGCTTGATGTACAAATGTAGAATTAACGTAACAAGGGAAAGCCAGTGACTCTGGAGGAGTTTTGTTTTTGATCGCTCTGAGTATTGCCTGGCAAGCAGAAAGTCTCAAATCATTGCAGATGTCCTGAAGAATGCAGATATGAGAATTAAGAAACAAAAGGCAGATTACTTTATAAATTTTCTTCACATTTTATTTCTGAGAAATGTAGTCCTACTTTCTCCAAGATACAAGTAAATTATATGTGCGTGTGTGT